ATATATATATATATATATATATATTTTCCTTTTTGTCTTTTTTCGTGTCCAGCAATGGATTGCAACCCTCAGTGTCGCGCCCGTACTGGACCGAGACCGGCAACGGGATTGCAACCCTCGGTGCTGCGCCTGCACCTCGCTCAGCCAGTGAGCGGNTTTTGGATATGTTGAGTTGAATATATAACATCTAGTTAACAATTATATATACTAGTATGGACTTTAAAGGTTGAGAGTTCAGTCAGAAATTTAAATTTGGGAGTTATGAACAAATAAAAGAGATTTAAAGGCATGGGACTTGGAAAGGTTCTAAGGAGCTGAGAGTAGAGAAAGAGAAGATAGAAGTGCTTGTGACAGAGCTTTGGAAACTCCAACATTTAGTAGCCAAGAAAAGTGGGATTGAACAGAGTCTGAGGCAGAGCAGCCAGATAGAAAGAAGAAAAGGCAGAAGAGTAAAAAAAGCTGAATAAAGAATGTGTTCAAGGAGATGGTTATCAACTGTGATGTGTACTGTATAAAAGAACTGGAATTACAGATAATAATTAGAGAATTGTACAAGTCCTGAAGGCTAACACATTTATTCTATAGCTCAGCTGTGATTCAGAAAACAACATGAGCACCAAATTCTATTCGCAGTCATGAAGATGAAAATTACGAAGAATGATGTTCTCAAAACCATGCTTACACTAAAGTGTCATTAAGTCCAACCAAATCAACAGCCTGTGAGGGCAATGTCCTTATTTCTTCTGCATGAGAATAATGACAAATAGAGGAAGGATTTTTATTTGTTTGGTTGGTTGTTTTTTTTTCCTCCATGGAATTTAATGGTGCAGTGTGGTGTCTGGGTTTAAAGTCAAACTCTACCACAAACTAGTTCTGTGACTAAGTTGTTTACTTGACTTCTGGGACTTTGCAGATTTATAAACTCTAAGCACTGAAAAGATTATAGTGCTCATCCCAATGTCACCCTATATAATTCCAAATAAAACCAATCTAAACCCTAATATAAATGAGAAT